TAATATGGGTTGATCAGGTTACGATGCAGTGTGCCAAAGGGAAAAGAAGGATATGTTAGAAAAAATTTAAATCAAGAATAAACAAGCTAAGCAAGGAAATAATATGAAAAACAGCATCCCAAAATATGCCCATTACTTTTCAGTTTTCACGGAAGGTGAAAAGAGACAATCTTTTTTTTTTCACCTTTATCAAATTGGACAAGTTTAAGACAAAATTAAACTCACCAAAAAAATTTAGTAAGTATTTCACAGTAAGATTTGATTTTAATAATCTAATTTGGGACAAAGAAAATGAAAGTTGCTTCAAAATGGCAGATTATGAATATTCTACTATCATGATTTTCATGAGACTGGTTGTTTATACAGTTTGCTAGTGAATCAGAAACCTGCAATCCTAAAGACCGTTATAAAGATTAACCATAGGAAAGATGAGATGAGATGAATCTAAGAGTTTAATATACTATGTTTGGAAGAAGAATACCTTTTTTTTCTGTTTATTCTACAAAAAGGGACTGGGAAAGGCTTATTCCATGGCAGAATTTAGCAGCGACCATCATTATCAAGATTAACCTAAATCTTTCTCTTTCCTGTCAATAAATTCCATTGGATGGGATGGACTTATTCTCTCTCTTATTTCTACTTCTCTCTCCTAGAATAGTCCTTTTATGCAAAATTTAGGCAAATATCCACATCTTTGGCTGTTTCAATCTTTCCTATTCCATCCACCCTTGAACCAAACAAAATTGAAGAGACCAAAACAGTAATCCCCACCTAGGGACATTATTATACCTATTCCCATTATTTGTTTTTTCACTCCAAACATGGCCTTAATATTGAATACAAGAATGACTGATCAAGAAATGTACAAAAATATTAAAACGAAGAAAAAAGGTGATAGACTATAAGTACGATGAGCATGCAAAAATGCTCTCAAATTTATCATTGTTCACTTCTCTACAGGAAAATGAAACTCAGATTGAGTGATTAGTTACATTAAATTAATAATTCAATCCATCTGAACCCTAATTTTAGATTACATCTCAAGGGTGAGAATATGAAGTAATATGAGAACTGGGGAGTACAAACAACAACTAATCAATTTTCTTTCCAATGAACTAGAGACAAAGGTAAGCACTATACCTCTATCTGCTTGTGTTAACTGATGAAAGGCTAGATCTAAACAATGTGATAAACTAATAGATTATCTCACTGCCATGTTCAAAGAAAATGCCACATATCCTCTAAATCTTAATCTTGGAACCATTTGCACTGGATATCTTCCTGGATAACCGATTAATACCTTACATTCCTATTTGTACATGTGCACTCATAAGTCCGCAAGATTCAATGTCACATAGAAGGTGGGCAAACAAAGTATATCAGCCTCTAATAAGGTCAAGTTGTCATCACATCTATATTCATTGCAAATATAATTATATACAAAAGAACTAGCAACTCTAGATGCTCAATACTTAGTTTATTGCAAACAATCAAGTCCACAGTCTAACTTTCTGTCCATCTATGTTCACTAAATATAGGAGAAGAGTCACTACGAACTACAAGTTGATGGTAATGATAAATTCAAGAACAATTCCATAAGCTTGCTTCAAAGCAGGTATATTAGACATTCATTTACAAACTCGAAACACAACTTAACATGTTTCTAAGAATTGCCAGCGATTATAAGAGCATAAAGCCAAAAAAGATGCTACAAAAAGAAAACCACTTACAGATTCCGTACACAAAACAAATAAGGAATTTCTGCTTGGATATATTCCCCAGCTAAGCTATTGCAAGACATCCTGTGAAACAGAATATTTTGTCACAGTTATTATCATGAGATGTAACAATTGAGAAACCGTATCCAAATTCTTCTTGGCTTGTCAAACATGTGGAAGACCAAAATTGAGCTTAATACTCTCCTAACATAAAAGGCGTACGTGTTAGCCAAGTTGCAATGGTTTCCTTGTCATTGCAACATCATTAATTTTCTTGCCTATTAATACTATCCTTTAATCCACTGCTAGATAAAAATCAATTTATCCATGCCCACTAGCCCAAATGTCATTCGTCATAAGGAAAAGCTATTTTTCAGCAAACTACGAGCCACCGAGAGCAGCAACTGAGCAAGCAAAAGAATCATGTGTAATATTTGCTGAAAAGAGGAAGCGAGGGTAAAAGCGCAAGTTGGTCTCCATATACATCCATATTCCCAAGAGCATTCTGCGAAGATCTGCTTGATGCCTCCCACTACAACATCCACACATCTACAAGCAAAATAGACTCTGGAGAGTAGACGATAAAAAGGGGAACTGCAAACCAAAAGAAACAATTCTGGGAGGCCTTAATGAGCCTCAAGGCATCAGTTCTTTTGCAGGTCGAAAACAAACAAAGGTGAACAAAAAGCCATAGAGAGAGAGAGAGAGAGAGAGAGAGAGAGAGAGAGAGAGCGAGAGGTGAGAGGAGAAAAGGGAGAACGACAACAAAACTGAGATCCATCAAGGGTTTGCTCATGATTCCCACGGTCAAAAAGCAATCCAAACCTGTAGCTAGACGACGAAGCAAGGCAACAGCTCCATGAAATAAGGCACTGCCGTGCTAAACCCACCATATGATAAATCCGCCAAACGGGAGAGAAAGATCACAGCTACATTCTTCTGTTGGATCAAAACAAAGCCAGTCTTCATCTGACCTCACCGATTTCGCTTCGGGAAAAAGTAAACCCTAGAACAACGCACTGGCTCAAGGTTCAAGGTTATCATCCCAAAGGGAGCTCAATCCGCATCGGAAACTACTAGCTGTTCAGACTTGTGAAAGAAGACAAACGATCCGACCTTTGGCGAAAGGATGGCTAGCTACCGAAGAAACACAAACACAAACACAAACAAAAAAGAGGCCATAAAAAAGAAACCTTTGGCCCAAAGAGTGTCATCAAGATTCCAGTTTCCTTCGTAAAACGGATCCAAAAAAGAAGATCAGAAAACGAGAACGAGAAGAGAGAGAGAGAGAGAGAGGGGATCCATCAAACAGTAGTTTCTATCAAGTGCTCACTGTGCTGACCAGAGAGAGAAAGGACAGATGCGGTGAATGTACCTCACCGTCGTCTCTATCCGAATTAGTACGCCGCTTCTCAAAAGTCACGCGTCGACCTCCCAAATCTATTATATTTTAGGGCTCAAACTTCGCTGCTGCTGATAGAAAACTACGGATGAAATCCATAGCGAACTATTTCTGATCGAGAAAAACCACAGATCATCCAGACTGGTACAGGTTACACTTATCTTTCAGCAAATTTCCAGACGAACCGTAAGGAAAAAAGCTCGCTTTTGGGTGTTTGGGGGACAACTCGATCCTACTCTACAACCGAGGTTAAAGATAAGAATTAAGGAGGAGAAGTAGATAAGGCTGACAGGAAGAGAAGTGAGCACGCAGCGGAAACAGCAGCGCCATCATATCATTTCTTGTTCCCACCCTGTGCTCACTCTCTCCTGTCAGCCCCTCCCCTTCTCCTTCGACTCTTCGCCTCTCGCCACAACGGCTCGACTGTGTTCCTCCCAACACATAAATAGGGAAGAGAAGGGGAGAGAGCCACTGTGGAAGAACGAAGCCATCACAGTTCCCATTAGGAAGCCCAATAAGTACTTACTGACTTTACATTTTTTAGAGCAAAAAAAAAAAAAAAACAATTTTGTACACCCATTTTATCAAAAAAAGTACTTCTTAGTTTTTATTTTTTTCAGAAATATTTTTGAATAAATTGTTATTTTGCACAATCCATATTACTAAACGCATGATAAACATCTGTTCCGTTTTGAAATCCCCAAAAAGTACCTTTGATTTGTACACACATTTTATTTTATCAAATAAATATTTTTTTATTTTTTTAAAGATAAAAGACGTAGATAAAATTCACTATACGATATACTACGATATACTGTCAAAATCTTTCTCCACTAAGAACTAAGCTAACTGATATCTCGAAACAACTATTTCTTATTTTTCAAAAATATTTATTTTTATAAAATATCATATTAGATCGAATGTTATTTCAAAATCACTCGATTCAGTGGCATGATCAATTTTTACTTTTATTTATTATTTATAAAAGAAAAAAAAAAGTACGTAAAACATTATAATTTAATTATTTCGATTGAATTTGTTATTGTTTGATTGAATAGTGACCAAATCGAATATATCAGTATCAAGAAAACGAAACACTATATATCCAAAAAATACAAAATAGAAAGAGAAAAAAACAACAAATTGAGCATAGCTGAGTCGTATTTAGATTGATTCATGTTGACGGAAGGCTATAAAACAAAACACAAACAGTCTCTTCACTGAATGACACGGTGCAGAATCATAATCAACCAGACATAGTTTCGGTTGATCTGATAGCTCCCCCTCCTCGCACAAGGAATTGGATATTTATGCTCTGCTACGCAACGTAACTACTATCAGTCCTTCGTCCCCTGATCTCCATCGATGGATTGTTTATCTATTACACGTCAAAACAACTAAATGGCAGAAAACGTGGCTTGTTCATAAAACCATTGACATTTTGAAGGGGTGTATGACCAAGTGGGTTTAGAAGACGTTTCTCTTAAGATGAAAGAAGAAAGCAGAACTAAAGCAAGAAGAGGAGAGAACAGTATGAGCCTGCAGCGAGAAAACCTGGATCCGTGGGGAAGAGGGGCGGGCGGATGATCATGCCCTGCGTCGAGCGTGGTGAACAAGAAATTGAACGTCAGAAAAATGATAATCCCAATCTCATAATGTTTTTTCACCTGATGATAGTGTATCCAACTCAGTTTGAATCCACATCCTACAATTTTCTTATGTTTGGTGACGCAAATCGGGATTTCTAATCCCTAAACTACAAATTTAAATATCTTAGGTAGCATGGCTGATCTCGATAATAAATCTTGGAACCAAATCCTAACTTCGTTACTAATCCCTTGTGCAAAAAATTACTAATTAGTGCAGCAAGCCCGAGTTAGTTCATTCATCAACAGGTAAAATTAGCACTCTAGAATGGAACATATTTCTGATACATAGCTAATATAAATACTCAGAACCTAGAGTTTCATAAATAGCAGCCCTTTTACCAACTAAGATGGTTTAAGGGCATTGATTAGGAGTCATGGTAAGATGTCCCGTGCATGTTTGCGCACCTGCAGCTGAGAACAGCAATCGTCATGAGCATTTTGACAGTGCTCCAGCTGCAAACAGAAGATTCCTTCTAGAGAACTGCAAGCACCACCATCATCATCATAGATCATATAATGATTTGAGAGCAAAAAACGGGGAACAGAACATGAGTTTTCCCTACCTGTAATGTATAAACAGGAGTAGATTTGGTAGGGAGAGCTTTTAACAGCCGCAAACGGTTTGAGCTGCTAGATTTGCTGTACAGAAAATCACAAAGTTTTCGTTTTCTCGAGTAAGCACATCATTGGAGAGCTTTCAAGACGAAATCCAACTTACCTCTCCATCCTTGATGCCCTCGTGCTGGCCGTGACATCCCATAATTTTATGGTGCAGTCAGCAGACCCAGAAGCAAGTAGTGTCCCTTCACAACTGCAGGAAAAGAAATATTAGCGATAACTAATGCCTACATTCTACCGTAAACAGTGTATGTGTTCAGTTTATGACTAAGAGTTGCACAATTTTGAGATGCACAAGATACTATAATATCAAAATGTATAAATAATTTCCAATGTCTGCTTGTGTTTTATCCATAATCCAGGAATATGGAAGAATTATTTACCTGAAAGCAAGTGTCCAAACACAAGAGCTGTGTCCTACTAATGGTGAAACACAACGACCACTTGAGAGATCCCACATCATTATTGTACCATCTTCATCACCAGAAGCCATATAACGCCCATCAGGAGACATTGCCAATGACAATATCATACTCCTGTGACCAATGAAAATGCGTACACACTCCCCACTTTGTACATCCCATAATCTGACTGTTTTGTCGCTCGAACCAGTTGCAATATAATTACAATTTGCATGCCATTGAACACACTGAGGGATGCACATAAACACAGGAACTAAGGCAGTTTCACAAGGAAATACATAAAAGAAACATAAGAATTAGAATTAAAGAACACTAAATGGACAGATTCAGTTCCATCAAGCAAGCCGAGGAAGCACACATGGACACATAGCAGAGCAATTTCACAAGGAAACACCAAAAGAAACAAAAAATAATCTCAAGATAAGCAACTGCCAGAATGCACATAGAGATATATGTCACTAAATGCATGAATTATCCCAAGATATCGACAGTATAACAAGAATTGAATTGCATCAACAACAGGTCTTACATTTGACCATCAAGTTCATGTAGGCATAAAAATATACCAACATACTTGGACCCCTATGTGTGTCAATGTTTTATATGCATATGCCTCACATAGAAAAGACAAAAGAAATGACATTTTATGAACACAATGTTCATCAGTTGCACTGTTTGCAAGCTAATTTTACCTATTGATGTCAAGGTAAAAAGAAATTTTAATTTACCATGCTGGCCATGACCCAAGTAACTTATATTTGGAAAATTACGGGGATGGTATCAACATCCACAGTATTCCCATGAACTACAAAATTTTGGAGCTGGGAGATCTCCAGGAATTATAGTTGTATCACATCCTAAATTCAAGCATTTTATCACTTAATTAAACAAAGTAGAATCTTGATCAAGACAAACTTCCAACATAAAGTGATAACAAATAAAGCATAACAGTTGGCAAAAGCATGAAACGAAGACAAGAAGGAGCTAAGATGGGTGCACCAGCAATATTAGCAGTAAGAAATAACCAATACTTGTTCACTGGCACATTAAACCAAATGCAGAGAAAAGCATAAAGAACCATCAATACTATTCTTGAAAGAACAAGTAAGAGACATGAGATGATGTCTACAGGAATCATAGAGAAGAAAAAGCAAAAACATGTACAGCATAAAATATTTGTAAGAACCGTATGCTAAGCGACATCCCATTTATGAATACCAAGATTGGAAGGCAAATCTTATTTGTTACATGGCTAACCTACAGGCATGTAATATTTACGCCCCAAAACCCACTCGATCTTACCTACTACTTATAAGAAACATAAATTTATGGTTATATAAACATAGAGAAGAAAAATTGTGAATCTTTCCATCAGTTACACAATTCACATCTCTATATCACAGGATACTTATAACCTTCGTTTTATTTTATTTTTATTTTTTTTGAGCCAAAGACAAGCATAGCATGTAAAACATGCACCTTGAATCATTTGCGTGTAAAGAAACAAAAACACATTACAAAACTAAGGCACTTATAGCGTGAACCAGACAGACATTATTGACGGTCTGTTCATACTTACATCAACATCAGAAAGATGTCCAGCCATTATCCTTAGGGGTTGGATTCTCTCCATTGACCAAATTCTAGCTGTCCGATCATGTGAAGAACTAGCAAAATAATGGCCAACAGGACTGAACTGCTCCACAAAAAAAGATCAGCATGACCAGATGTCAAAGTAAAGAAACTAAATAGCTCAGATAATGCAAGTGAAGGAAAAAAAGAGCCTCAATAACTCAGAATCTAAAAATGTAGGCTTAAATAGAAAAGCAAACGAATCTCAAAGATTTAGAAACTACATAATTTCTTAGAAAAAAATTCGAAGAGAGCTATAAAAGACACACAGAAAAACTGATACTGGTACATATTTGCATCAAATACTGTTGATAAACTAAATACGCCCAACTTAAAGAACTACTCAATAAAAATAATGATTAGTGAATTCAAAGTATTCAACAAAAATCAACAGTAAACAAGCTTATACCTAACATGCAAATGTAAGGAATACAGAAGAAAATATTCTCACAGTTCTGTATTGCTCAATCTAGAACTAGGTTCATTATTCTGATGGCAATCATGCCCTGTTGCTAATTTTGGGCCCAAAATCAGCAACAGGTGATCCATGTGACACTTCAACAGGTGATGCATGACACCTGAGACACTTCAGACCCTCTTCATGTGGTGACACTAAGTCCAACTAACCCCATGCAGTCACGCCTAATAGTCTTAGTTACACAGGTGATCCATCTTTTTTGAAGGGATCAAACAATACACCAGAAATTTGATACACTCACTATCTTGTTTGAAAAACCTTTAGATTTTATGTTCAACACAGTCAAACTTGTATTTTAGCTCATCTCTTAAGCATCATGAAATTATTAAAATTGAAAAAGCGCATTAGAGAAACTTATCTAATCAAATCCATGACTAGTACACTGGCTAAATCCTATAGAAATGACTGTCTCTCGCCAACATTAGTCATTAGAAAATTTGTCAGAAGATGGTAGATCAAATTGACTCTTTTCTCTTGCAACCTTTCCGCATTCATCTTTACTCCGGCAAATTTTAGCTAAGATAGATTACCAGCACACCTTTGAACGTAAACCATGCATATATTTATCTATATAGAGCAGGTAAATAAATGTTTTTGTTCACTAAATGGTGAAAATAATTCTATCCATTTCCAAAAACTTAAAACAATAACAAGTGCAGTTCGGTCAAATCTGGAGCTAGCCATATCAATTCTTTCTCGCCACCAATCTTTAGTTGAAATCAAGCTTTTAAATACTAACTCAATATCAGTTTTGTTAATTGGTCAAACTAGCATGTCATTAATATGCTGGGCACTCTACCAACCTGCATTGTCCTATATCACCAAAAGAAAAATGAAACAAAGGTTATAACAAAACCGATTGTTCCAACCAAAATGGTTTAATAGCAGCCCTTGGTCAGACCACTAAATAGTCAAAACCATACTATGATATTTGAGACCTTTGAGAGCAATATCATTAATTAATCCAATCTTTAATGTTTCAATCAAATTTTTCTTAGGTCTTCATACAAAGGTTTGAAATGTCAATTTGGTACCAGAGGGTGTATCAACATGGTACAATGCCATGCTGACCAGTACATGTCTGGCCAGGTGAGAGGAAGGGCGAGGGGGTTTGGGGTTGAAGTACTGGCAGAAGGAGTTGGCGGATCTGTATTAGTAGAAGGAGGTCCTGACCTCAAGGAGGAAGCAACAGCAATGAGATGAGATGGGGGAGATCTGCATTGGTAGGAGGTAAGAGGTAGCGACTTTGAGGATGAGGTGGAGGATTAGTAGAAGGTGACAGCAACGAGATGGTGAGGAAGAGGTTGCAGCAATACAGTGCAAAGGATGAAAATGTTGACGGTGAAACAACAGTCTTATTTTTATAAAAACAACAGTCTTATTTTTATAAGAACAAATAAAAGGTTGTGGGGGGAGGAAGAGCGAGCGAGCGAGCGAGCGAGAGAGAGAGAGAGAGAGAGAGAGAGAGAGGAGGGAGGAAGG